GCCTGTAGTCCCAACTACTCAGGAGGCTGAGGGAGGAGAATCGCTTGAACTTGGGAGGCTGAGGTTGCAGTGAGCCAAGATGGCGCCATTGCACTCCAGCCTGGGCAGCAGAGTGAGACTCCTTCTCAAAAAAAGAAAAAAGAAAGAAAGAAAGAAAAGAAAAAGAAAATTCAAAGCCCCCTTAACTGACTGAATAAACCCCTCTTGGCCGAGGAGACCCCCAAAAAAAAACTTCAAAATCTAAGTTTCCTGGCTATGATAAGGCAGGAGACGTGTCAAACCCCAGTACACCGTCTTCCTTTCTGTTACCAGGCTTTTTTTCTAAGAGTTAAGCAGAAACCAGTCCTGGAGAACAGATGGAAGACTCCTCTGCTGATTTCAACTTCAACCACCTGATGCTGTGGCTAGATGTCCCTCTTTTATTCATGGGGTTTTGTTTTGTTTTGTTTTGTTTTTTGAGACAGGGTCTGGCTCTGTCACCCAGGCTGGCGTACAATGGCACAGTCTCGACTCACTACAGCCTCTGCCTCCTGGGTTCAAGCGATCTTCCCGCCTCAGTCTCCTGAGAACCTGGGACTACAGGCACACACCACCATGCCTAACTTATTTTTGTATTTTTTTGTAGAGACAGAGTTTTGCCGTATTCCTAGTTTTGCCATTTTGCCAGGCTGGTCGCAAACTCCTGGGCTCAAGAGATCTGCCTGCCTTGGCCTCCCAAAGTGCTGGGATTACAGGCATGAGCCACTGAGCCCAGCCTCTTTTTGTGATTTTGATATGACAGCTGACCAGCTCACAAAACATTCCTTCCCGATCAATTCCTATCAATCACGGGCTGGTTCTGGCCAATTTACAGAGGCTGCACTCAAAGTGTCTTTGTGTCCTATGTTCCGCCTTTTTTACTTTATTTATTTATTTTTTATTGTAAAGGTTTTGGCCATAATAATGTTCGCCTTTTGAGGTATACAGCCTAAGTCTGCATTTTAACGTTAAGTCTTGGCTGTGCTTGTAATCCTAGCGCTTTGGGAGGCTAAGGTGGGAGAATTGCTTGAGCCTAGGAGTTTAAGCCCAGCCTGGGCAATACAGTGAGACCCTGTCTCTCTTTCTCTCTCTTTTTTTTTTTTTTTTTTTGAGACAGACCCACGCACTGTTGCCCAAGCTGGAGTGCAGTGGTGCAATCACGGCTCACTGAAACCTCTGCCTCCTGGGTTCAAGGGACTCTCCTGCCTCAGCCCCCACTGGTAGCTGGGATTACAGGCATGCGCCACCATGCCCAGCAAATTTTTGTATTTTTAGTAGAGATGGAGTTTTGCCATGTTGGCCAGGATGGTTTCGAACTTCTGACCTCAGGTGATCTGCCCTCCTCTGCCTCCCAGAGTGCTGGGATTATAGGCATGAGCCATCATGCCCAGCCTTCTGTCTCTATTTTTAAATAAAAATATAAATAGGCTGGGTGCCGTGGTTTGTGCCTGTAACCCCAGCACTTTGGAAGGCCAAGGTGGGCAGATCACTTGAGACCGGGAGTTTGAAACAAGCCTGGACAACATAGCGAAACCCAGTCTCTACTACGAAATAATACCAAAAAAATAGGTTGGTGTGGTGGTGCACACCTGTAATCCTAGCTACTATGGAGGCTGAGGCAGAAGAATCACTTGAACCCACAAGGTGGAGGTTGCAGTGAGCTGAGCATGACACTGCACTCTAGCCTGGGTGATAGAGTGAGATTCTGTTTTTTAAAAAAAAAAAAAAAGTCGGCGTGGTGGCTTATACCTGTAATCCTAGCACTCTGGGAGGCTGAGGCAGGCAGATCACTTGAGGTCAGGAGCTTGAGACCAGGCTGGCCAACATGGTGAAACCCTATCTTTACTAGAAATACAAAAATTAGCTGGGTATAGTGTCGTAGTGTCAGGTGCCTGTAATTCCAGCTACTCAGGAGGCTGAGGCAGGAGAATCTCTTGAACCAGGAGGCGGAGGTTGCAGGTCACTGAGATCGTGCCACTGTACTCCAGCCTCAGCAACAGGGCAAGACTCTATCTCAAATAAATAAATAAAAATAAATAAATAAATATGAAAAAATAAAAAAATTAATGTTAAGTCTCAACTCCAAAGTGAACACAGGATGTTTGCTTAGTACACACGTGTGTGACTCCCTTTCATCAACATTCACAACTTCTCCTATAACCTATTAATATGTATGCTAGCCAACCCATTTTGCATAAAACTCCTGTCCCACCCTTCCTCCCTCAAATTGCCTGCTTTTGGTCTCAGCCAAAGGCTCCACTTACCAGCCTGGAGGTTGCAACCCAGCATAAGAAATCATGTTGTTTTCAAATTATGTATCTGGTGATTTTAAGTTGATACTTCCTAGGTTGTCACAAGATTCAGGTGTGGCTCACTGCTGCAGGACACAAGCTGGGATCTCCTGGGAGTTGGTCTCTTTGCAGGCCCTAGAGGGCCTTCCTTCTTTTTTTAAAGACAGTTTCACTCCTGTTACCCAGGCTGGAGTGCAGTGGCTCGATCTTGGCTCACTGCAACCCCTGCCTCCCGGGTTCAAGAGATTCTCCTGCCTCAGCCTCCCGAGTAGCTGGAATTACAGGCGCCTGATGCTATGCTTTCCAGGTTCAAGCAATTCTCTTGCCTAGGTTTCCCAAGTAGCTGGGATTACATCCACCTGCCACCACACCCGGCTAATTTTTGTATTTTTACTAGAGATGCTGTTTTACCACGTTGGCCAGGCTGGTCTTGAACTCCTTGATCACTCAGGTGATCTGCCCGCCTCAGCCTCTCAAAGTGCTGGGATTACAGGCGTGGGCCACTGCGCCCAGCCAGGGCCTTCCTTCTTGGTTGATTTTCCTCCAGAGATCCCACTGTCTCCTCAGGCTCCCCTGCCTGCCTCCTCCTTGGGTCCAGACCTGTGGCATTGCCCAGATACTGGGCCCCCATCTTCCCTACACTTACTGCCACCCATAGGCTGATGGCTCCCACATCTGCATCCAACCTGGACTCTTCCCCTGAGCATTTCCCTCTACAACAACCTCCCTCTGGGCCAAGAGCAGACAGGCAACCCGACAAAACTGTTCTGTGTTGCATCCTGCCCAAACCTGCCCCTCCCTCTCCTTTTTCTCATCAGTGGTATCACCATGAGCTCAGAGAATTAAAAAAATGACTTCTGTCGGGGGGGAGCAGGGCAAAAAACAAAACAAAACAAAAATGACTTCTGTCATGGCCTGGGTGGGGATGGGGGGAAGAGTAAATTAGCCCAGGATCATAGGTGCTGTAGAAAGGATACCTGAGTTGGGGGAGGGGGTCAGTGAGTTGGGGATGAAAGGAGAGCTTGGACCTTCAAACAACTGAGGGATCTGATCAAAAGATTCAGAATATCTGTGATTTTGTGGCTGGCAATAAGTGACATCTGGGCTAATGAGGTTGTGGGAGTTGGTGGCTCTACAATTTATGGCTGTGGGAAATCCTTGCTTTCTATCGCTGACTGGGAGGTTGGAAGCCTGGGCTCTAGTGGTTGCCCTGAAATTGGCTCTGCCCTTTGGGAACCAGCCCAACCCCGTATGTGGGTGCCCTTAGTCCCGGTGGTGACGAGGGATTGAGAAAAGGAAATGAAGACAGAGACACAAGAGTAGAATTTACAGCATGGGTCCAGGGGACCAATGCAAGCTCAGGAACCATATTGGCCCCAGATCTGGGCTCCAAACACTTTTATTATGTGTGCATTCTCACTGATCTTACCAGCGTGGAAAGGGAGGATAAAGGAGTAGGTAAGATAGCCGGGTGGAGAGCACTTGAGATCCTTCTAAGACATGCTAATCTAGTGCTCTGAGTTTTCAACAGCACTGGAGATCCTTCTAAGACATACTAAACTAGTACTCTTGAGTTTATCACCCATTGTTATCAGGGTGAGGCTGCATCAGAAGGACAGCTAGTGCTCGACTTACGACCAGGGTCGGGACCGCGGACCGGTCGTAACACGATTTGGTCGTAAGTTGAGTAGGCTATATGTACAGTTGAAATGGTGCACGCGGAGATGGTAGTGCTGCCGGAAGCTGGTCCGCACCGTCGTACGCCCAGCTGGGAGACATTTGCGCTGCCAGACGCGGAGCAGTCGTGGCTAGCGATTGTGGTCGTAAAGTCGAATGGTCGTAAGTTGCATAGGTGGTAAATCGATCAATACCTGATCGGATTAGGATAGCAGATTAGGAGCCACCCATCTGACCACACCCAAAGTATCAAGGGGCTTTTATCTCCCAAGGGTTGAGGACATAGGGCAATTAAAATCACTCCATATTCCAAGAACGTAGGCAGAGCCTGAGGTGTTCTGTGATCTCTGCCCTGCAAGGCCTTTCTTCTTGCCAGCTGCCATCTGCAAAGACACTCCGGATCTTGTGAGCAGAGGTCATCTCCCCTCTCAGAGATCTTTGCATAAGCCCTCTTTACGAGGCCCTCATGCAGTCTCCATGTTGAGAAGGCATTTGTGGGACCAGAGTAGTATTCCCTGCTCTGCAGCCACCCTGAGGTGTTTGTTCCCTGGTGTCACTGAGCTCTCGGATGGTCTTTACCTTAGGCCTCCTGTTGCCGCTTGATTTCTAATTGACTGCACCAATAATATAGTTTAGTTCAGTGTATAAACTTCAGTGTACTCTGAGCCAAGCAAGTTTATAATTATTTGGCTGGAATTAACATAGGTCTCCCCCTGGCCATCTTGACCCACATGCCTTGATCCTCCAGATCTCATTTTCCTCATCTGTGTAATAGGACAGGAGTTGGAAACTGATGAGATTAGCTCAAAGGATCCCAGCAGCTCAGGCTGCAAGGTTTTTTTCAGACCTGAGCTTTTGGGAGAAAATGGGGTAGGTGGAGCTTAGGGGCTGGCCTGAGGCCTGCACTGTTAATTCACCCCCTCCCACTCCCTTATGGAGGCCTGGCTGGTGCTCACATGCAATAATTAACTGCTGAGTGGCCTTCGCCCAATCCCAGGCTCCACTCCTGGGCTCCATTCCCACTCCCTGCCCCACTGCCCGTCTCCTAGGCCACTAAACCACAGCTGTCCCCTGGAATAAGGCAAGGGGGAGTGGAGAGCAGAGCAGAAGCCTGAGCCAGACCCAGAGCCACCTCCTCTCCCAGGTATGACACTCCCCATACCCCTTCAGAGGCCACACACCCTATGGTACTCCCAGCATGTGTTAAGGATTTGCTGAACTGGAAGGGCCCTCTGTTTAACTAAAGCCCAGAGTGTCTTGAAGTGGAGACTGAGGCCCAGACCAGAGCGTGGCCTGCCCAAGGTTAAACGACAAGTTAGTGTCCATCCCCTTGAACTAGTACCTGGGCTCTAGCCCTGCAGTCCAGCACTGAGTTCTCCGCTTTCCTAGTCTGGGGCTCCAAGGTTGGGAGTGGAGGTCATGATAGTTGCGGGGGCGGTCATAACTGGACCAAGACCTGAAAGTGAGACAAGGAAGGTGGGAAGGGGGCTTGCAGAGTGACGCAGGTCACAAGGACAGGAAGAGAGCCTGGCTTCAAAAGCAGCCACAGCAAGAGAGACTACTGACTGAACAGGTAGCCTCCCCTGGGGCTGGGGAAAGTATTTTCCCAGCCCCCATCCCCAGCACTGTGTGTTGGTCGCCCCCATGAGACCCCAGCACTGTGAAGGTGCAGGGGGCAAAAGCAAAAGAACTCTGACCCGGACTTAGGTGGTCCCTGCTGTGTGTCTTGGGACGGCCCTCAATCTGTACTCAACTGATTCTGCAAAGATTAAACTGGCTATCATTTGTTGATTTCCCCTTCCTATATTTAATCCTTGCAGAAGAAAGCTAAGCCTCAAAGTTTGCTTCTCTTTCCCTCAAGGCCAAGGAGAAGGTGGAGTGAGGGCTGGGGTCGGGACAGGCTGAGAGGGAACCCTTGTGCCCTAAACTGTTAGGTTTTGTTTCCCTGGGAACTGAACCCAAAGGATCACCTGGTGTTTCCTGACAGCACAGATTTCTCTGGCCTCCTGTCCAGATTAGTGAGTGAGTGGGTCCACAGAGGCATGATTGGGTCCTGGAATGAATGAATCAACCATGAGAGAATGAATGAACACTAGAATCACTAGAGTAGCAGAATAATGGATTCTAGAGCAGGAAGGAGAAAGAGCTGCTGGGTGGGAATCCAACTCCAGGCTTCTCTGAACCCTGCTGTGCAAGGCCCAGCTCAGGCCCTGCCTAGAGCCCTAGAAAGTATTTTACAGTGAAGTATTTTGGTGTCAAAATCTGACCTGAAAAGGAACGCCTGTCAAGAGGAGAGGAGGGGCAATGTGGGGCCAAGGCAAGCTTGTGAGCGGGAAGGACCTGTCCACTTTAGGGACTGGTATGTGGAAAATGGGTTAGAAGGAGACAGATGGAGAGAAGTCACAGGAAATAAATTCTGAGCATTTTAGGAGAGCCCAGACAGCAGTTCACCAGTGGAGAGAAGGAAACAGTCACCTCCCAAAATTCAGTGTCTGAGGTCAAAGGATTGAAGTTCTGTAATGACCAGGGAGAAGCCAGCTCTGTGGTAGGGGCTCAGGAGCTCCCCAAGGCCCCAGGGCTGTCTAGCTGGCTGCCCCCTGCCAGCCTGTGCCCTGTGACACATCTCCCCTACCCCCCAGATCCCATGGTTTCCAGGAGGGGCTTACTAAACTAGCCCAAGTAATGAGGCTAGAAAGGGCTGGGACCAAGGCTTAAAAAGCAAAACAAAGCCAGGCGTGGCGGCTCATACCTGTAATTCCAGCACTTTGGGAGGCTGAGGTGGGCAGATCACCTCAGGTAGGGAGTTTGAGATCAGTCTGACCAATGTGAGAAACCTTGTCTCAACTAAAAATACAAAATTAGCCAGGCGAGGTGGCACATGCCTGTAGTCCCAGCTACTCAACAGGCTGAGGCAGGAGAATTGCTTGAACCCGGGAGGCAGAGGTTGCAGTGAGCCAAGATTGTGCCATTGCACTCCAGCCTGGGTGACAAGAGTGAAACTCTGTCACACACACACACACACCCCCCAAAACAAACTACCAAAAAAACCACACTGCAGCCCCCCCCACTGAAACATTTTTGTCAACTTTTTTTTTTTTTTTTGAGAGAGTCTCGCTCTGTCACCCAGGCTGGAGTGCAGCAGTGCGATCTTGGCTCACTGTAACCTCCGCCTCCTGGGTTCAAGCGATTCTCCTGCCTCATCCTCCCTAGTAGCTGGGATTGCAGGCACACAATACCATGCCCAGCTAATTTCGTACTTTTAGTAGAGATGGGGTTTCACTTTGTTGACCAGGCTGGTCTCAAACTCCTGACATCAGGCGATCTACCCGCCTCGGCCTCCCAAAGTGCTCACATTACACTGAACCCAGTCCATTTTTGTAAACTTTTACAACAAAGTGATTTGGTATCAAAATCTGACCTGAAAATTAATGTGAGGTTATGTATAGTTTTAATTTATCCCACCAATGTAACTGTTTCATCCCAGAATATGCACTAGATTATGGGGTATATGGAAATTATATTATCTTTGTATCACCTTTTATGAAATCATAAAAAATTTTAACTCTGAAACATTTGAATGGCATTGTGGACCTATGGCAAACTCCTGGCTATTTCTGCATTTTGCCCAAATCCATCCTTTAATTATATCACTTGAACTTCTCCACCACCTGGATAAGGGAGAGGATCAAGCCAGGGAGGGGTGGTATCTAATCCCACCTCTCATTGGATCTGGGAAGACTGAGGGAAATTGAGGGCGGGGCTTCAGTCGAGGCCCCACCCTCCTGGAGCCCTGCCCACAAATTAAGGCCCCACCTCTGCATTCCTTGGTGCCATTTACTACAGCTCTTCCTTCAGGGACAGACATGGCTCAGCGGATAACAATACAGCTGCTGCTCCTTCTAGCTTGGGTGGCTGCAGTAGGGGGGGCCCGGACACTAACTGTGCGGGCCAGGACTGAACTTCTCAATGTCTGCATGGATGCCAAGCACCACAAGGAAAAGCCAGGCCCCGAGGACAAGCTGCATGAGCAGGTGGGCCAGGGGGTGATCTGGGGTGGCGAGGGACTGGCTCAGGAAGAGGAAATTAGGACATGGAACTATCAAACCCCATTCACTGATGAAGGCAGACAGACCCCCCAGAGGATCCCTTCCATTTCTATTAATACAGGAGACTATTTCACAGACACTGTGTGCCAAATGTCGGTACAATGCCAACAGCTCGCCTTCTTGGTTGTTGAGTTTCCGCATTACACAAAGAAGGAAGCAGGCCCAGAGGGGTGCCTGGAAATGGAGTTGGAGAGACCCATCCTGTGGTTGCTTGATTTAGGAGTTTAACCCAGGAATGACTCCTCCAAGGCTCTGAGAGAAGAAACTGCATACTGTACATAGTGACTTCTTCTCTGCTTGCCCTAAACAGCTCAAGAAAGGAGAGTCTCTCACAGTTTTTGTTGGTTGGTTGGTTTGTTTTTTAGTAGAGACAGGGTTCCACCATCTTGGCCAGACTGGTGTTGAACTCCTGATCTTTTGATCCACCCACCTCCCCTCCCAAAGTGCTGGGATTACAGGCATGAGCCACCACGCCCGGCTTGTTTGTGTTTTGAGATGGAGTCTCTCACTCTGTCCCCCAGGCTGGAGTGCAGCGGTTCTATCTGGCTGACTGCAACCTCCGCCTCCCAGGTTCAAGCGATTCTCACAGTAGCTGGGACTACAGGCGCCTGCCACCACGCATGGCTAATTTTTGTATTTTTAGTAGAGACGGGGTTTCACTGTGTTGGCCAGGCTGTTCTCAAACTCCTGACCTTGTGATCCCCTTGCCTTGGCCTCCCAAAGTGCTGGGATTACAAGCATGAGCCACCACTCCTGGCCATCTCACAGTTATGAGGCTGGGTACAAAGAATTCTTTTTTTTTCTGAGAGAGGTCTCCATATGTTGCACAGGCTAGTCTTAAACTCCTGAACCCAAGTAATCCTCCCACCTCGGCCTCCCGAAGTGTGGGATTACAGAAATGAGCCATGTTCCTGCCTGAAGCATCTTGGTTCATGCATCTAGTAAAACTTTGGGCTGGGATGTCCTGAACATGATGATAAAACTAAAGAAAAAACAGAGAGAAAGTAATTTGTAGGCCAGGTATTAAGGCTTACGCCTGTAATTCCAACACTGTGGGAAGCTGAGGTGGGGGGATCACTTGTGCTCAGGAGTTCAAGACCAGCCTAGGCAAGATGGCAAAAACCCATCTCTACTAAAAATACAAAAAATTAGTCAGGCGTGGTGGCACGTGGCTGTAGTCCCAGCTACTCAGGAGGCTGAGGTGGGAGGATCAATTGAGCCCAGGAGGCAGATTGAGCCACTGCACTCCAGCCTGGGCAACAGAGTGAGACCCTGTCAGAAAGGGAAGGAAGGAAGGAAGGGAAGGAAAGAAGGAAAGGAAAGGAAGGTAATTCGTGTATACATTTCATTTTTTTGTTTTTTGGTTTTTGGTTTTCTTTGAGAATGGAGTTCTTGTTGCCCAGGCTGGAGTGCAGTGGCACGATCTCACCTCCACCTCCCGGCTTCAAGTGCTTCTCTTGCCTCAGCCTCCTGTGTAGGCACAAGCCACCACACCCAGCTAATTTTTTTTTTTTAGTAGAGATGGTTTTCACCATGTTGGCCAGGCTGGTCTCGAACTCCTCACCATGTGATCTGCCCCCCTGAGCCTCCCAAAGTACTGGGATTACAGGTGTGAGCCCCTGTGCCCGGCCTTAAGTGCACATTTTATTTATTTTTTTGAGATGGAGTTTTGCTTTGTCACACAGGCTGGATTGCAGTGGTGCAATCTCAGCTCGCTGCAACTAATGCCTCCAGGGTTCGAGCAATTCCCCTGCTTCAGCCTCCAGAGTAGCTGCAATTACAGGCAGCCACCATCACACCCAGCTAATTTTTGTGTTTTTAGTAGAAATGGGGTTTTGCCATGTTGGTCTCAATTCTTGACCTCAAGTGATCTGCACGCCTCCACCTCCCAAAGTGCTGGGATTACAGATGTGAGCCACCGTACACGGCTCACGTTTTAATATTTAGCTTATCAGCCTTAAGAAATGAGATTTGGCCGGGCGTGGTGGCTCAAGCCTGTAATCCCAGCACTTTGGGAGGCCGAGGCGGGTGGATCACGAGGTCAAGAGATCGAGACCATCCTGGCCAACATGGTGAAACCCCGTCTCTATTAAAAATACAAAAAATTAGCTGGGCATGGTGGTGCGTGCCTGTAATCCCAGCTACTCAGGAGGCTGAAGCAGGAGAATTGCCTGAACCCAGGAGGCGGAGGTTTCGGTGAGCCGAGATCTCGCCATTGCACTCCAGCCTGGGTAACATGAGTGAAACTCCGTCTCAAAAAAAAAAAAAAAAAAAAAAAA